CAATTCGAAATAATATTAATTCTCGTATCTTTAGTTTCTTCCTTACTTCTTCAAGAACCAAAGAATTTGAAGCTAAGAAAATGTCTTGATAGAGTTTAAGAAAAAAAAATCATTTAAATCGGCAAGTCATCCTTGGCTGCACACTACTTTGGTCACATACTCGCTCACATGTACACGTGTATATGATAATCCCACACCAAAATAATGTATAATGTGAAAGTCATATATATATATATTTTTTGTTTCTTCTTGTATGTAAAAATATATAGATGCATATGATTTCTTTGGATAGATTATGAATACTAGAGGACTCACTAGCTCTGGGTTTATATAGAAGCCGGTGAAGAGAGATGATAGGGAATAAAATAATAGAATTGAAAAGAGAAGAAAAAAGTAAAGGTTTGAGATGCATCATATTCATTTATGCCCCCAAGAAGGTAGATATGCAAAAACCCTAAAAATTAAAAGTAAATAATACGGAAACAGTTGTAATAATATAATTAAAGAATCAGAGAGTTGGAAAAAGCAAAAAAGAATTAAAGAGATAAGGTTTCTCCATGCTTCTCCATCCTCATATGGGTTCGACACTCATAGAAGAAAAAAAAAAGAAATAATTGTTTTTTTTTTACAATTACAAAAATGCCACGTTTTGTATTCACATTTGCAAGAATGTCATTCAGGGGTGTCCATTTACAAAAATGCCATTAATTTAGATTTATAAAACTTATATCCTAAAATTATAAACCCTAAAAAATATTTTGACACCTAAAATTCTCTAAACACTCAAAACTAAACCATAATAGAACATAGTTAACCCAAACATAAATAATATAAAGAAAAAATAATTTTGAAAAATGGCATTTTTGTAAAGATTTCAAAAATGTGGCATTTTTGTAAAATGACATTTTTAAAATTTATCTTTTTTTATGTTTATACCAATTAAGTGGAAAATAAAGTATATTAATTTTTTTCTAAAAAGGTGAAAACAAGAGGAAATAGAAAAATTGTGATGGAAACTTTTTTTTTCTAACAGTAACTTTTTCTCTCTCTTCTAATTTATTTTCTTTTTTTCTCGATTCTACTTTTTATTTCACCATTGACAGCCATAATATTAATTTTCTTAAGCTGCGAAGCTTTACACTCAGGATTGAGCTTTACCAGATGCCATAAAGAGATCTGGGCCCATATAGACATT